TGTTGTTGTTGTTCAGAGAACAAACACTGACCACTGCTAGCACTCACTCACACGTCAATACACGGGAGGTGACAGTCCGGTGCGACCTCGCTTATATACACTCCGTGTTAATCTCCGTAAAGTGCGCGTGCGTGCGTGCGTGTGTGTGCGTGCGTGCGCGTGTTCGTCCGTGCGTGCGTGCGTGCGTGCGTGCGTTCGTGCGTGTGTTATGCGCGCGTGTGTGTGCGTCCACGTCCGACGGCTAAATTGCGAATCAGACTTTCTGCCGCGTTACACTCTCTCTCTCTCGCCTTCTCTCTGTTATTTCTCGTCTTTCTCTTTCTCTCTTTCTCTTTCTCTCTCTCTCTCTCTCTCTCTCTCCTCTCTCTCTCTCTCTCTCTCTCTAGAAGTCATCGCTTTTAACTATGGCCCCTCTATCATAATGTCTTCTTCTATCTTCTGAGAGCTTGTCCTGCCGCTAGCCATTGCGCTCCCTGCCCGCCATTCAATTCGCTGTAGTAATACCGCGCAGTTTTAACTCATCCATCTCTCGTCGAGATCCTCTTCTCCTCTAGCATGCTACCAAAAACACCACAGCTATTTCCGCGCTCACCTGCCCAAGTCTCGCTAATAATTGTTTAATAATGTTCAAATTTAAAAAGTTGGATTTTTTCCAATGTAAAACTCGGCTACTGCTGTAATGTGTAATGAAGCTCGCAGTCCTCCTTTGGTCCAAGTCTGTCCGGTTAGTAACCACCCATCTCCCACCTGCAGTGAAGTCCACTAAAACATCCGGTCGCTCTTCGTAGAGNGTACGTACCAGCTCTCTCATGTTGCTCGCCGGGGCGGGCTGACCGGGAGGCAGTAGACGTCGCAGCAGATTGTGCATGTGTGCGATCTCGTGCGCGTCATTGCGGCCGGTGACGTCACGAGGACCGGTGACGTCATCGCCGACGGTGACGTCATCGCCGACGATGACGTCGTCACCGACGTCGGCGTCGGCGTACCCGGCAGACGACGCGGGAACGACGCTGACTGTAAAAAAGAGAAGAAGAAGAAAAGAGGATGCAGAGATTGTTTGGGGTGTATATGTGTTATGCAGGGCATGTGTGCGTGCATGCGTGTATGTGCGCGTGCATGCGCGTGTATGTGTGCGTGCATGCGTGTATGTGTGCGTGCACGCGTGTATGTGTGCGTGCATGCGTGTATGTGTGCGTGCACGCGTGTATGTGTGCGTGCATGCGTGTATGTGTGCGTGCACG